GTGCATGAAGAGCATGCGCTGGATGCACGAAGTGCATGCACCAGGTGCACGAAGCGCATGCACCCCGTGCATGAAGTGCATGCACCAGTGCACCAAGTGCATGTGCCCGCCGCGTGCCCAGGGAGCTGCAGGAATTCCCTGGCTGGAGAAGGAGCTGCAGGTGGTGGGGACGGGAAAGGAGCGTCCACCCGGAGCCACCCCGGCAGAGCTGCAATCGCTGCAGCGGAGCGCATGTGCCAGGTGCATGAAGTGCATGCACCCCGTGCATGAAGTGCATGCACCCAGTGCACCAAGCGCATGCACCAAGTGCATGTGCCCGGAAGCATGAAGCGCATTCACCCAGTGCACGAAGAGCATGCACCAGGTGCATGAAGAGCACGCGCTGGATGCACGAAGCGCATGCACCAGTGCATGAAGAGCATGCACCCGGTGCACGAAGAGCATGCACCAGGTGCATGAAGAGCATGCGCTGGATGCACGAAGCGCATGCACCAGTGCATGAAGAGCATGCACACAATGCATGCACCAGGTGCATGAAGAGCACGCGCTGGATGCACGAAGCGCATGCACCAGTGCATGAAGAGCATGCACCCGGTGCACGAAGAGCATGCACCAGGTGCATGAAGAGCATGCGCTGGATGCACGAAGCGCATGCACCAGTGCATGAAGAGCATGCACACAATGCATGCACCAGGTGCATGAAGAGCACGCGCTGGATGCACGAAGCGCATGCACCAGTGCATGAAGAGCATGCACCCGGTGCACGAAGAGCATGCACCAGGTGCATGAAGAGCACGCACCCAATGCACACACCAGGTGCATGAAGATCATGCGCTGGATGCACGAAGCGCATGCACCAGTGCATGAAGAGCATGCACCCAGTGCACGAAGTGCATGCACCAGGTGCATGAAGAGCATGCGCTGGATGCACGAAGCACATGCACCAGTGCATGAAGCACGTGCACCCTGTGCACGAAGCAAGCACACCCAGTGCACGCGCGCCGCACGCTCGCCACCACAACGGAGCACAGGCTCAGCATCCTCCTGCGCGCCGGGAGGGCCGGAGCGTGTCCCGATACGTGTCCTTGGACACCTGGCGCTTCTGCCTGTCAAACCTGAGCCTGGCTCCATGCAACGCTGCTCCCACGGGCGCTCCGGACCCCGCGGCCGCCCTCCTTTTGGAGATCACCTCACGCTTTTCTGGAACAGAAGCGGCTGTTGCGGCGCTGGCGGCTGCTCCTTGTCTGGGCAGAACAAAGCCGGCTCCATTTTCCTTTTACACTTCCTGCAGCAGCAGCTTAACAGCTCAATGAGCTATTGAAATTTTCCCCGAGTGCAGCATTTTTTTTCTTTTTTTAACGACCTCCCACTTTCTCTGGCGTGAGAGTCCCCAGGGTGGCCGCGGCGGGGACGGGCGCAGAGGCCCCTGGCCGCTTCCCAACACCCTTTTCCGCAGCGGCTGGAGCTCCAGGAGCCCGTGCGCTCCCGTAGGTCCATCCGAGACGCGGCCGGAGCGCTGAGCATCCCCGGATAAATCTCAGCTATTCCCAGCATGTTGCAGGCGGCCGGTGCATTTTAAGATCTAGGAATCATGGAATCATTATGGTTGGAAAAGACCTCCAGGATCATCCTTCGTTTCCCCCTTGCAAGCGGATCCAGGTGGATCCCATTGGGTTTTCCCAGTGTGAGATGTCAGCATCCCGCGGTCTCTCTTGTTTTCGGTTCAACTAATTTGGCATCTTTCAGCAAAGCAGGAAAGGTCTCAAAACAGGCACATTCTAGATAAAAGGGATGCCAAAGCGCATCGACAATCTGTATGAAGCTGCTGGAGAGAGCAATCAGAGCAGCGATGCTTCTATGTACAAGAAGCTCCAAATAAAAGCAAGAAGAACAGAATTTACTCTGATTTATGTGCTGATTTGGGGATTGCAAAGGTTCCTCGAGGCAGTTTCTCTGCCTGCCAACACCAAGCTGGGCACATTCACGTTGCTCAAGCTACGTGGTGGGACCCACAGCCCTCCCTGGGCACCCGTGGCACCTTCAGGAGCAATATTGATATTTTCAGGACATGTTGATCTGCCCTTGCAGCTCCTGCAAGGAAACCACACAGCTCAGCCTACAGCAGCAGAAACACAGTGACCCCAGAGTACCAAAACCTCCTCTTTTGGAGAAAAAGTGGCAAGAAGGATGAGTCTTTTCCAATTTTGCTGTTAAATTGCCTTTTTTTTTTCCCTCATGTGCAACGGGAAACAATTTTGCTGTTAAATTGCCTTTTTTTCCCTCACGTGCAATGGTTTCAGAAATGAACGGGGATAAGCGTTTGGATCCAGAAATCACCCTGCATGTGGAAGCAATTCAAACACAGCTCCTGTTTGCATTCACGGCCCGAGAAGAGGCGCTGATTCCAGGGGGGAATCCCATCCCGGCTCGAGCACCGCGGAGCCCGTGCGGATCCGCGAGGCCTCGGGAACAGCCCCACATCCAACCGAGGGCATAAAGACCAGGCAGGAAGCTGGGCTGCAACGGCACAAGGGAGAATTCAGTTATAGAGGGAGATAAAAGAAGGGGAAGTTTAGGCTGAGTATCACAAAGCTTCCTGAGAAACTTCCATAGCTCCGCAGATCTAAGCTGGGAAATGCCCAAGGCATCGGCACTCAAGGCATCCGAAACAGGCAGGGGAAGTTTGAACAACGCGGTGGAGGTTTCATACCCTTCTTTTCTAGCCTACAAAGGGTATTTCGAGCACATGGGAACGTCGCGTTAATTTATTGGCCTTGTGTGCAAGGGTTATCGTTTTACGAGGACAGGAGATCTCAGAGCGTCGCTCCCGATAAAGCGGAGGGAGTTTCAGCTGCTTCCACATTCCCGTCCCGGCTCCGCGTCTCCTGCGCTGGGAGTCTGGGAAAGGTCCCGAGTTTTCCACAAAGAAGCAAATGCCCAAAAAGGGGGGGCCCTCCAGCTAAAGCATTCCCAGGCACCGGCCTCTCCTCCAAAGCCCAAACCTGGCACTGCTGTTGGCATCGCATGGATGCGGTTCCCCTCCAAGATGCAGGAAGGGAAACAGGGAGATTGCCTGGATTTGCACATGGATAAACCGGAGCTGAGCAGACACGAGCGAGGGTGAGCGGTACCGCCGGGCAGATCCTGCAGGAAACCCCCCGGCTGCTTTGCAGGGAAGAATATTTGGGAATTTCAGATTTATTTTGCTTCTCCCCCAAATAGGACCACGTGTTTAGGAAGAAAGTCAGCCACGTGGATTTGAGGAAGATGACAAAAGAGCCTTAACACGACCAAAATAAGAAGTCCAAGCAAATACTATGAGGAATACACTTTATTAGTGCATTATGCTTATTATAGCTTCTATGGACAAAGGATCCTGGCCTTTTGCAGAGCCTTGGAGAATAATTATAGCAATAAGGCCGGGTGAGTGTGTTTATTGGAACCTCACAGAGCCCTGTATGAAGGGGATGGCAAGGCCAAGGAGTTTGGTTTCAAGCACGTTAAGGTTTTCATTGTGGAAAGAGCGTTTGGTGGGAATTACATCAGAACCACAAGCTACAATGTCCTCATTGTACGGCGGGCAGAGCCTGCACGCTCAGGGCTCCTCGAGAAGATAGGGAACGGGCAAATAACCCGAGAAACGCAGCCACCAGGAGCCTTCCCAGCACCGTGTGCCCCTAGGCTGCCTTAAAAAATGTTATGGAAAAAGAAACAGGGCTTGTTGATTACC